TAATTCAGAATTCAAAGATTTTTTTAGCTCGTAATGTTAAATTTATTTAAACTGATAGAACTCGAAGAATTTTTGCTCAAAATATAAATTTTATCTAAATATATTTGCTATGAAATGCTCAAAAATGGGCAAAAACACTTTCACAAATATCTCAATTATGCTAAATATGTATGATGTTAATTCATGTTTATTCCATTAGTAATTAAAATTACCATTTTGTTCTGAACGTAAATAAATCTATGGATCTGGGGATCATTAAAAATCGCATATTTATTCCCTTCTCATATCGTTACTGAAAAACTCTCATTTTAACTTACCTAATTATGGTTTTGGCTTTATTTCAAAGATTTATTTCGAAACCTGCATTTGAAATAAATGAATTTGCTTAAATTGAATTTAACTATTGTGTTTTTATCAGATTGCTTTTAAGCAGGTTAAGTGATATACATTTGCAACTTCGATAAGCAATTACAACATGGTTACAAAAACATTTTTTTTAGATTTAAAAAGATAGATAACATGTAACTTAAAAAGATAGATATTTAATATTTTATTTAATTAAACAAATTTAATAAGAGAAACCTAATTTGAACAGAAAGCTGTTTACTTAAAATGCTTAAACATTACATTCAAGCTATCCTTAAAATCACAATGTTTAAACTTACTCTAATTGCTCAAACACATTCTCAAAAAAATAAGAGAATGGAATATTTATTTCTCGGCCAGGCATTAAAATCCTACATTGTTTGTTGTAATGATTTACACTTTAAGGTTACAATGACTTAATTTCTACAAGACCTACTTAAATGACCTCATTTTTCTTAAATAACAGGAGTAATTAAACCAAACGCGAGTATTGTAAAATATTTGGTAAGTAAGTAAGTTGCTTTTAAGGTCTTATTTGTTTGTTCGCTTAATTGTTTTTTTCGTTGCTTAATTGTAAAGTTTGAGCTTTAAAAAAGAGCATACTGGATATTTTAATGGTATATTTAACAGCGGCAACACTTAGAATTGAATATCATGCAAAGCATTATGGTTTAATGTCTTACTTTAGAGAGAAAGATTCTTTTTTATTTCTCCAGAATAAAGTTTCTTACAATCTCAGAAATTAAACTCTCGCTTTTGACGATTTAGCAATCCTTGAGTAATATTTCGTTGAATTTGAGAATCATTTCTCTAGAAAATCACGTGATTTGTGACGAAACGCGAATTTTCAAACAAAATAATTTCAATAGATTTAACCATATTACGGTTCTTACTTATCATGTGAACTGTCTCATAAAATAAAGTTCGAAAAATTATAAATAATGTAGCTTCCTTTCAAATAATAATTAATTAAAATAGAGTAAATAATATTGCCTTTCTTACTTATTAAACAAACTATTTTATTAAATAATTTAATTAATTTAATTACATTAAATCTTATTGCGTTTTTTAGTAATTATGCGAGCTATTTCATTGAATAAGGTTAAAAAATTATAAATACTTTGTTGTATGCTCAATTAGTTTGTCATTTGATTTAAATGCATTAAACTTAACTTCACTAAGAGCTTTTTGAGCAAAGTTAAATAGCATTTGTTGACTTTTCATTTTATGAAATTACTCGTACTACTTAAAATAAATAATTAAATTAAAAAGTGTTAGAGATTAGAAAAGTTAGAAGAGATTGAATTTGAAAATTATATTTTTATCATAAATTATAATTTAAACTATCTTTTAAGCTTAAAGATATTACGTTTGTGACAGCATACAAAAACTGATTAGCACACTGAAGGAGATTTCTCAGAAAAATAAATTTATTTATATAATAAATTTAGTTATTTATATAATAATTATTTACTTATAAAATAAATTTATTTAAGTTTAAATTTATTTAATTTTTATTTTACCATATTCAAGCAAAATAGTCTAATAACCATAAATAAGATGATATTTAAACTATTAACTGTGAGAAAAAGCGTTTATTAACTGTTTTTTACCTAATACGGTTAAGCAACCAGAATTTCATTTTACTTACTAGGCCCATCTAATGAAACAACTTAGCTTATTGCTGATGAGTACATGTTATATCCGAGAGTACTAATCTGTCAATCCCGCGATGGACAAAATGGGAGTTAGATTAACATTGACATCACATTATTTCCTTCATTCCCTTCAGCACATGAAGAGTTTCCAGTGTTCTGCACTCCCCTATTTGTGACTCTGGCCTATTAAATTATGACACTTTCATTCACGCATAGATGGCAGCATCATAAAACTAATTCACACGAAAAAATTTATTATTTCTCATCTCTCACGACAAGTGAAACAACCAGATAAACTAATTAAACCACATTCCACGGTTCATGAACTGATGCCCATTCCCGAACCAAAACCCAAGCTTCAATGTCCAGTAAAATATTTTTTTGTGATTTTGAAACCATGCTAGTAGTAAATGGTTAATAAAGCATATGGTTTCGTTTTTATGATTTTTTTAACCATTCTAATTGTAAACAATTTCAAAACCGTAAGGAAAAAATGTTCTTTACAGTAAACTTTACGGTTAATTTGATGGACAAACTGCTGCCCCGGTTATTTTACAGTAATTTTAGAATGAAAATTCTAACGGTATTTTACTACATCTTGTACAACCTACAAACTAAATAGTTATTTTTTTGATCAAAAACATCTTTTCGCTATAAATATTTTACGTAATGTCGAGTTTTGATGGATGCTATGAATAATAACATAAAATAAACTTACTAAATTAAACGCTGATATCACCTCTTGTCCACAAAGAAGTATAATTCTGAAGTTTTTACTTTTACAATTTTACATAGAAGTACAGAAAAAACTACGAAGACCGCATGGAATTGACTAATTTTAATTATCAATTTTAATAAGTATTATACTTTAAAAAAATATAACAAATGCCATGCAAATGTCCATTTCTTTTGTGTTTGTTTCAATAAAGCAAACGAAGACAATTTAAAATCAATCCGGTTATTTTGAAAAGTAAACTGTTTATTCCAAAGATAAATATACCTAGCTCAGCTAACAAACTAAAAATTGAAAATCGAAACTCACAACAAATATTACAATTCATTTCGCAAAAATATATTATTCCATCAAACTCTGCTCATTCAAAATGTTGAATCTTTTTCTCAGTATTCATAGCTTCTCCATATTTTGCAATTTTTTTTTATTCTGTTTGCCCCGCACATTTGTTTACAAAAAAGAAAAAGAAAAAAAAAACGAAACTTCAATAAACTGAAGCTTTCGCTCGAGACGACATCCATTAAAGAACACCCTTTCTTATGCTTCCAAATTTTGACAAAAAGATAAACAAATATTGAGACCGGAAGCAAGAACAGCCTTCATGAGCAAATTTACCGAATCCCCCCCCCCTCTGTCGTAAAGATTTAGTGGTACTCAATATAAGAATTCTCTCGGAGAATTCGATTCCCTTGCTATACTCCGTTAAAGTTTTTTTTTCGTTTTTTTTTTTATTCGTTCTTCTGTCAAAAGTGTTTTATAGCTATCTAGCGTGCTATGAATATTAGTGGGAAAATATTCACCGCTAATAGTTGCAGTTTTTCCATGAAAAAATGGAACAAAAAGTTTGAAAAACTTCACATTTTCATAATGCACATGCCTATTAAAAATATCTTATTATAACTAGTTTTCTGGTTAAGGCAATTTTGCTATCTTGTTAAGCAGGACACAAATTTTTATTAATAGATATTATTACTTTTATCGTTAATCTTTAAATCTAGTTTTAGCTAAAGACCATTTAAAAGTATTTTTCCAAATATTGATTTATTTCAGGGCTCGTAGCGATTTTAAGAAGTGCTTAAAAGTGCTTATTTTTTATTTTCGTTTATTAAAAGCCCTTAAAGGTGCTTTTTTCATTGGGCGTTTTTAAAAAGTGCTTAATTTTTCCCTTTTTCAAAATGAGATTTTTCCGTTTACTATGATGATTTTCGCTTCGAATTATGCAAAAAGATACAGTGCAGATCGTTCTACTCAACGTTTTCACAATTAATTCAACCCCAATCCATTTCGCCGTATTGTCAGACCGTTGCGTATGAAAACGCCATTCGTTTTACATGATTCAAAATTTCATGATTTTTGACAATAGTCAAAAACAATGCCAAAAGGTTTTTCTTTTTTTGGCATGACGGTTAGAACATGATAAAACAGTCAATTGTCAAAAACTTTCCAACCCTGCCTAATTATGATATTTTTTTAAAGTGCTACTTAAAAATATCTTTTGAGTGCTTGAAAAGGACTTAAAAGGCGCTTATTTTTGTTGAATAATTTGGCTACGCATCCTGGACTTTCTTAGCACTGTTGTTGGTGTTTCTTATGACATTTAGAAAAGCCAAGCTCACCAACCATTGGCCTTGTAAATTAAATCGGGAAGGAACGAAAAGAGAGCACCGCTAAGGTGAGAGTGAAATTTAGCTCTGAATCCCAGAGATAGCAGCACCACTCAGTCGTAAAGCCTCTTTCACAATTTAGACACAGATATGAAAAATTACGGTTTAAAGTACCGTCACTTTGGGTGCATCATCCGTAAAATCCATTTTTACCGTGAAATATTATACAGTAAATTTTGCAGTAATATTTACTTTATTAGAGTGATTAAGCAATTTTACGACGATTATTTACCGTAAGAATTACGGTGAATAAGATTTTTTATTCGTTAACATGTTCCGGTAAAAACGGATTTCACGGTAAAAGCACCCTGATTGCCGGTACTTTTTACCGTGATTTGATCCGGTATATTTTACAGTGTAAGCTTTAAATATTACGTTTTAAGCACGTATGTCCAATTTTTAAGTATATTTACAGAGGATTAAAAATTGTGCTTCATAAAAAAATTTAAATAACAAAGGCTTAAAGTTGCATTAGAAATATGAAAATATAGTAATTAAAGTTAGTCCTTACAGTACACCACGTAGAAGTTTTTTTATGCAAAAATACACTGAATTTCAATTTTTAAAAGAATTCCATACCTTGATCCTTGAGCCTGTGATGTGTAAAAACAGCATACCATAACCACCAGTAGGGAAAATAAAATTCGAAAGCTCGTACTACAATTCATTTTATTTCGTCAAATAACCAAAAATAAACAAATCCTCCAAAACCTGCAAAAAATATCACATTAAGGACAAACAGAAGAGTAAATATAACTTCAGACATGTTTTTAAAAAAAAAATAATAAAAAAAACGTAATTCCATTATTTCAACTGTACTCATAATTTAACAAGACTGTAATCATAACTTAATTTAACTGCAATCATAATAAACAAGACTGCTTTATTATATCAGAAAGTTATTGTTTTCTAATTTTACTCGTTATTAATATAATTATGAATGATTGTGATAAAAGTATCTCCTATTTAAATCACCGTTAGATTATTTTTTTAAAGTTTTGTGACCCAGGTGGTGTGGTGGGTTTAGCTTTCGTCTACAACGTCTTAAACCGGGGTTCAATATTCGTGCTTAAGTTTGGATATCTGATTAAACTTCATTTATCGTTTTAATTTTTAACTCTCCCAGTGATATTAAAGTCGACAAAGTTTTCCACTTTGGAAACATGAGAGTTATGCAGTTTTGGAGCTTGGTGCGGGAGGCAGTTTTGCGTAGTGTGCTCATCAACACATTGTTCAGTTCATCAATAATGATCAATCCTAGAACAACTATTAGTACAGCTTTAATACAATGTTAATCACCAAACCAATCAAAATTTTGATTGTACCCCTATTTAAACTAAGTGTTTTATGAAAACAAAAACTAAATGTTTTATGATTCATAATGAGCCACTTTATGTCCAAGCCGAAACAAGGCTAAATTTGTTATAGGGTACTTCGCTTCCTTTAGCAACATTTTTTGAAACTTTTATTATTATTACAAACCAAAATATGTGTATTAAAATCTTTCTTTTTCACTATTGTTTGGAGAAATTTATTATTTATATGATGAAATTTGCTTATCAAATATACCTGATGAATTTGAAAGCGTTACTTGGAGTTCTTGATATCTACGTCTCAAAATATATGAGATTAATTTGTCTCTTTTTGTCAGTTGGTGATAAAATAATATTACTAAGTTTTAATATTAATGCCAATCACCGTTAGATTATTGTTTAATCTAACAGTTTATGATTATTTAAAAGTTTTAAATTTTTAATGTATGATTTGTAACAAAACATTAAAAATTCTTCTGAAAAAGAACTAAAAATCTGTAACTGGTGTAATAAAATTGGAATAACGAAATTTTTTTGAAATAACGGACGGATTAAAATAGGTGATCTTTAAATGTGAAGACAAATCTTTTTAAGAAAAAATGATGAAAAAAAAATTAAAATGAAAAAAAAAATCATCTCATCATATTTAATAAAAAACTGCTCACGTGTTTAGAATAATTGAGTTACCAGTTATGTTCACTAAATGTCCCTGTTAAACGGAAAATTAACGGAAATAAGGATTATTATTAAATCGTATACAATACATACCATACATGAAATCCTAAATTATTTAATATAAGTTCGTAAATCCAGAAAAAGATCCCCACAAAATAATAACAAAAAAGCATGATCTGAGTTGACGGAAAGATTAAACTAAACGTGTTAATATTTTTTTACATAGCGAAAAAATATTTAACTAAGAAAAATTTTCAAAAATATATTTTTTTTAAATTGCGATTTTATTTATATTTTTTTGAAGAGCAATAATACAAAAATCAATATAGAAAATTTTACTATTATTTTATCAAATTTTCGAAAACTCTTGAAATTTCTTGAAATAGGAAACACTTTTGCCCTCTATGTGGTGAGAGCTTTAAAGCAATTTTATTTTCAACACAAAAGTAGAAAAAAAATAATAAAAAGCTCTTGACTCAACACTCTCACCTTGATTGTATTCTCTTAGAAAATACGCGGTGGCATCTGAGCTTTTAAAAAGCTTTTAGAGTAAAAATAATAAAATAAAAATAGGGGTTTGATTTTTCTTCGATATTCTTATTCATCATGATAATAACGAAAAATCAATTTGATATTAAGGTTCTTATTTTTTTTTTATAAAATTTCGTTCCTTTTATTTCAGATCAAAAGAAATGAAATGTGCATAAAAAAAAATCCGTTTTTTTAAAATCATACATTTAACTAGAAGGAACGAGGCAACATGAAGGTATTGTCACTAGAAGGCGCCGTCTCCTGCTCGCTTCGTTCACCAACCACCACGTATACTTCTCAATCATTTTTATTTCTGTCAACAGATTGTTGCATCAAAATTTAAGAAAATATTCAATCGAAGGATTTCAATTGTTTTATTGCATTACATAAGTTTGGTTCTACAGATATAGTTCCCAATTCATTCATTTTATCGGGATTAAACCTAATGGGAAACTGATCCCCTGTTTCTAGTGTTATGTTCATAACATATAATTTAACTTATCAAATAAACTTAAGATACTGAACACAACTTTCAATATGAAACATACAGGAAGAAAATTCTGGTAAAATTACCGGCTTTCAATCATTTAATAACTTTCTCAATAAAAAATTTGGTCTTTATTAATATTATTTATTTAAAGGCATGTTTTAAGTGCTTTGCTAAATTGAAGACAAAAGTGATAAACAAAGTGTTATTAATTTAACTTTGCAATCCTAGATGTAATTATCTCTGTTTAGTATTTTTCGGTGCACCCTGTTTGCTATTACGAAGCCCCTAATTGCATCACAATCGACTTTGCTCTTATTTTTCAAATGTTGAAATTGTTCGCTTAAACTTATGTACCATAAAAATATTCTCTTCGCACAATCAATTTTTATTACTTATTACGCACGGGTGACTAAATTTGCATAGAAAACTAACTTGAATACGTATAGATAACTAAATCCCTTGCTCAAGAATTTACTTGGCAGTTTTATTGGCGTCCATTTGTGAACTGAAATAACGTTTCTCGATATTAAATATTAGGAAAAATAACGCTATTTTGCTGCCATATATTTGGATAGAGCATAAATAAGATTTTGGGTGACTAATTAATGAGCATGATATACAATTTAAAGATAAGATGAATTACTTGTACACGTGAAACAATAATAAGAAATTCAATAATAATATTTTTCGCCAGAATTTATTTTTATGTCGAAACTTCCGAACAATGATTATAAGAAGAAGAAAAGGGTAAGTATATAAAAAAAATAAATATAATCCTTAAAATTTAAGCATTCCGGTAGCATGATTACTTTTCTCTTACAAGACTGAGAAAAATTATTGCCAAAACTATCTGAATATGGTAAAGTTTACCGTGTTTCTGGTTGTATGGACGACTAAAAATCGCTGTAATTTTTGCCGGAGCACTTTTAGTAATGGTTTTAGTAAAAGGAACAATAAAATATGGTTTAATTATGTGTGATCATATTTGGTACATGTAGTAAAATTTAGTAATTTTATAATGATAACTTAGAACATGGCAAAAATATCACTTATTTGGATAAATTTACTTTCCAGGTATGTATTTTTTAGAAAATGTGCTGTAATAAGAACTTTAATTTTGATAACCAGAATTTCCAATAAATCGTTATCATACAAGAAGAAAAAAATACTAAATGAATGTTTTGAACACCATATATTTTGATTTCATTAATCAAAATTTTGTGTGTGTTTCTGTCAACAGGAATGTCATTAGGTAATTTTACCCGAATTTTTTTCCTAGTGAATATGCTTAATGTATTGCATTTAATTTGTTAAAAATATGTACTTTTTTTACTAGGAAATAATGTTTGCAAACTAATAAAGAATTATCACCTGATTAATAGATGATAAAAAATAATTAAGCTCTTTTGATTATCACAAAAGAACGAAATCAAAAATTCACTGTAACAAAAAATAATAATAATACAGCAAGTATCATTTCATGTAATTAAATGAATAACAAATGATTATATCTTTATTAATTAAAGTCATTTAATACTAACTATGGTATAAAATATTTGCTGCTATATCATTTATTGTAAGTGACATCATGGAACTTGTCCAAGATTAAGAGTATTTCAGTAATCCCTTAAAAAGTATTACTATTCCTTATTGTTTAAAAACTATATAGTTGTGAAAATTCTTCATTCGTTTAAATTCCATTCAAATATGTGGCTGTAACGGTCCAGAAAATTTATTTTATACAAAAACATTCGATTACAGTAACTAGATAATACTTTGTCAAAAAATTGTTTCGACACGAGAAATTTCAGAACTATTATTTATCAACTATTCGTTTTCTCTCTTCTTTTCAAACTTGTCTCGTTCCACGAAAAAAAAATTATATTTACGTATGAAAATTTTAAAGTATTCTTGCAGAACAATCTACTCCAAATCGCGAATGTCTTTCTTTTCTTACAATCGTCCAACAGATGTTCTTATGTGCAGCTGGTTCCCAAGAACTTCAAACGATTTTAGAAAAATAGCTACAATTTGTTTCTTTTTATTTCTATAAAATGGATCGTTTGAAAAGCAGTATTTCGCTTGATGAAGCAATCTTCCCAGCAATTGTTTGGCGAGTTAGTACAACAATATTCCCCTACTAGTTGTTTTCTTTTTCCCTTGTGAAGCAAAAGTGGTGAAAGAAAGGAAAGAAAAGAAATAAAAAATGTCACTCCTTTTATTATTTTTCTTTGATCTTTAAGGAAAACATCTTAATTCATTATAAATTTTGATGGCTGCGACTAGCTTTTACGTTTTCTACGTGCCTGTTGTTTGAATAGAGATAAATGAACACTTGATTTACTGTTTATATTTTATTTGTAATTTTATTTAGAAGTTGCACTTTACTTATTGTAAGATTTTATAATTTTACTTTATGCGACAAATAACTTGTTTTATTTTCTTAAAAATCACTTTATCCAACAACAAGAAAACATACAAGAAAGTATACAAATTTTAAACAGCTTTTATTTAATGAGAAATAAAAAGATTTCTGATAAAAGTAATCATATCTTTTTGTTTGAAAATTCAAAACAGTTTTAATTCTACCGTGTTTAATAATTCTTTTTTTTAATAATTTTATATTTCAAATGGAATAAAATATTTATGGTAAACTATAGCTGAAACTAAGAAGAATTAAACAATGTAAATAAACATCACTA